GAAATTCAGAAGTTAAGAAATTCAGAAATTCAGAATATCAAAAATTCAGAAATTCAGAAATTCAAAAATTCATAAGCTGAGAAATTCAGAAATTCAGAAATTCAAAAATTCAGAAATTCAGAAATTAAGAAATTCAAAAATTCAAAAATTCAGAAATTCAGAAATTCAGAAATTCAGAAATTAAGAAATTCAGAAATTCAGAAATTCCGAAATTCAGAAGTTCAGAAGTTCAGAAATTCAGAAACTCAGAAATTCAGAAATTCAGAAATTCAGGAATACCAGAAAATTCAGAAGTTCAGAAGTTCAGAAATTCAGAAATTCAGAAATTCAGAAGTTCAGAAATTCAGAAATTCAGAAATTCAAATTTTGGAAATTTTCAGACAAGCTACGTGGAATACCGGTACATGTTGTCGGTATCAATTGGAGTACGACAGAAACTAGCAGACCTTTATTTGGGACCAAAAGAAGATGTGATATTCCAAAAGCAGCATGCAATGGGCGAAGTGGATATGCCCGAATTTCGGCGGGTATTCAAAAAATATCAAATCCCGGGATTCTATGAAAACCATGAATCACTTACTGTCTATGCAGTTCGGGTGCTTTTGCCCCTGGCATGGATTCAATCGTTTTGGGAAGAAGAGAAGAATGTTTTTCCCGAATTATCGAGATTCATACTGAATGAGATATTGATTTATGTTCCTGATAACTTGAAAATGGAATATAGAAGAAATGTGGTGGGTTTTTTAACTGTTTTTTTTTACTTGGTTTTTGGCAGATTACGGTATGATTTCGGAAACAAGATTTAGAAAACGATAAAGTTTGAAAAAATAGGCAAATGCGCTTTGAAAAGATGGTCACAGTCTTTTTTTTCGGAATTCTTACAGTAATCCGTAATGTCTAGGCCATTTCAAAATGATGGCCTAACTTCTGCAATTAGAGTTTCCTAGGCCACCCTGGTATTTAACCTAGGAATGGTCTGATATATATATATGTTTTCTAGGTCACTCAACATGGTGGCCTGGAAATCTCAACATGCAAAAGTTAGGCCACCATGTAATTTGAGGTACTGTACTGTTATTTTTTGGATTACTGTAGCACTCTGGAATTACAGCAGTTTGATGAATGGATTACTGTAGAATCTGAATTTCTGAATTTCTGAATTTTTGAATTTCTGAATTTCTGAATTTCTGAATTTCTGAATTTCTGAATTTCTGAATTTCTGAATTTCTGAATTTCTGAATTTCTGAATTTCTGAATTTCTGAATTTCTGAATTTCTGAATTTCTGAATTTCTGAATTTCTGAATTTCTGAATTTCTGAATTTCTGAATTTCTGAATTTCTGAATTTTTGAATTTCTGAATTTCTGAATTTCTGAAGTTCTGAATTTCTGAATTTCTGAATTTCTGAATTTCTGAATTTCTGAATTTCTGAATTTCTGAATTTCTGAATTTCTGAATTTCTGAATTTCTGAATTTCTGAATTTCTGAATTTCTGAATTTCTGAATCTTCTGAATTTCTAAATTTCTGAATTTCTGAATTTCTGAATTTCTGAATTTCTGAATTTC